TTGCTCCCGAAGGGATGAGACCAGTGGAGTATCTTAGATGGCTGCTCACAGGCTTTTAAGACCCCAGACACTACTCACCAAGGTAGAATGTAGAACATTGCCTTTATAAACCTTGTTATGCCAATTTAAAGGGTTTCTTTTCAGAAAGATTTTTTTCATATGATTTGTGATTTTCAAAAAGCAAGTACTGAACTTTTACATTTTATACTTAACCTTATTTCTAGCATTATTTTGCTTTCCTAAAGCACTAAAAGATATATTGAGGAAAACCTCAGGATCTCAGCCCTGCCACTTGCCTTTGATGTGATCTTAATTTCTTTCTGAGGTTCATTTTCCTCATCTACAAAATGAGGTTTTAACAGTACTCATTCTGCATAACTCACAGTTATTTTGAGTGTTAAGTAAGGTAATATATTAGAAACACTTTGTAATTTATTAAATGCTTTATAAATATAAGATAGTATTATTGCCTGCTCATCTAGTTCTATGATAGTCTCTAAAGTATGGTGTCGTAAAGTGGTAATACTCAGTAGACCTGAACTGTGCCTCAAATTAGATATATAACCTTTAAGTCATTACTCTTATCCTCAGTTTTCTCATTTGTAAAATAGGGATAATAATACCTAAGCTACAAAATTGGAGTTAGTGTAGATGAAAGCATACAACATATGTGAAAACATACACAAATGACATATGCAAAAGCACAAGACTAGATATCTATGAAAGTTCCTTCCAGCTCTGTTTTTATATAAACTTATAACTCTAAGATGAACATTTAGTTTAAGTACTTGAGAAGTTAGTAAGAACCTAGCACAGTAAAACCTTACTACTAACAAAGGCTTACTTTGTTGTGTTTCTTCATTTTAAAAAATGCCAGGCTGTTTCACTGTTTACTCTGTTTGTCTCTTCAATTAAAGAACAAGTAGAATCATACAAATTATAAATCTATTCCATGTTCTGGTCATTAGTGTAACATAGAAAGATTTCTTTAAATGATTCACATTGGGTACGTACACATTGAACTAGAAGATTGCTGGTAAATATTTTGGTACATGTGTCCTACAAGAATTTTTCTTGTGAGTTCTGGGGGGTCTCAGGAGATTTCCTCTAAAAATGTCAATCGTATTTACCCATGTGAACAAATTATTCAATGTCACTAAGAGTTCAACTAGCAGGTATACTCATTTCACAATGTTATATCCAAAGGGATTTTGTTGAAATGTGATTAAGCTCCCTTTGCATGACAAGTGACCTTTTTTTTTCCATTGTCTTTAAATAGTAGTGTGACAAGCAGATTCATGAGTTGATTCCAACTCATAGTTACCCTATAGGACAGAGTAGAACTGCCGCATAGGGTTTCCAAGGAGTGCCTAGTGGATTCGAACTGCCAACTTTTGGTTAGCAGCTGTAGCGCTTAACGACTACCATACCAGGGTTTCCTTCACGATCTTAGTATACAGAAATTGAGTGCTATTATTTGTTCAGGATTACATCTGCTGAGAATTATGTCACATGTTTTCAGCTATCCTTGAAAGTCCCTGATAAAAACACTTATTTTCAGTATGGGGCAAAAAAGCTGAATTTTGTGTTTCATGTAACTCTGGAATAGTTTGTTACTATGGAATCATCAAAAATGAAATCTTGATTTTAAGACTATGACCTGTTTGCCAGCTGTGTCACAATTTCTTATATATGTGTCTAAAAGGTGTTTTTCTTACTAGTCACTAAAATGTGTATGTTGGTAGCTAGGTAGAATATATATGACTTCAAAATTGTGGGTTTATTTAAGTAGGGTTAAGCTTTGTTCCTTTTGTTTTGTACAACTCTAAATCAATAACCAAAATGTATTCCTTTCTTCTGTAGGGCTACAATAGAAGTATCTCCCAAACAGAAACGATAATACGCTTTGCTTTTCAAGCCTCTATCACAGTTCTGTGCATTGCATGCCCCTGTTCACTGGGTCTGGCCACTCCAACTGCTGTGATGGTGGGTACAGGAGTAGGTGCTCAAAATGGCATACTAATCAAAGGTGGCGAACCATTGGAGATGGCTCATAAGGTAAGACAGTGCCCCAGAACTAAGAATTGTCCTGTCTGAACTAGCAATAGTGTCCCTACTGAGAAACACAGCACCCTAAATTAATTCCACATGGTCCATAAGGTGAGCCTCTTCTGGATCTATCCTGGGGGTTCAGGTAGAAAAGATGTTATTTCGATTCCATTCCAGATTGGCTTTAGTTATCTAAAAGCTCTAAGACTACTCCAGGCCTACTCTGTTAGAGTGGACCCTAATGTGGGAAGCCTGGAGTCCTATCCCAACTCAGATTAGGCCAGTCTTTAGGGCAGGAAGACAGAATAGGTACTTGCCCAGGAAAATTTGCCAAAATCTATCAGGCTTCTAACCTATTTGTGTATGACTCCTTGTTTGTGTTTTTCAAAGGGAGAGAGTGCTTATAATTACATTTCAACTTCTTTGCCTTTGCTGCCATCAGCTGGCAGTTTAGAGCTATGACTTCAAGAATATAATCCAATCCATGATGTCTCTCACAGTAGGATTTTCATAATAATCTCAATCAAGTCTACTTGACTTCAACTAAAACTGTATTTCTACTAGTATGATCTTATTATGAGGATATAAACTATATATAAATGCATGCAGTAAACATAGAACACATCTTAGAACAAATTTGGAACCTCATCTGGCCAGTGAATTCAGACTATTAATTTTTGTAGTAGTTTTTTATTTTGATAAAATTTCAAACTTAAAAGTTGCAAGAATAGTACAAAGAACTTCCGTATAACCTTTACTCAGATTCCCCAGTTATTTTCATTTTTCCCTATTTCCTTTCTCATTTTCTTTTTCTCTTTCTGTTACACACACACACACATTTTTCCTGAATCATTTTAGAATAGATTCCAGATATCAAGCCTGTTTACCCCTGAAGTAGTTCAGTGTGTTTCCTAAGAATAAGGACATTCTGTTATATAACCACAGTACAATTATCAAAATCAAGAAATTCATTATCTATAATCCATGTCCCAATTTCCTCAGTTGTCTCAGTAACGTCCTTTATAGCTATTTTTTTTTTCTTGTTCGGAATCATACTTTGCATTTAGTTGCCATGCCTCTTTCATCTTGGTTCCTCAGGCTGTTCATTTTTCAGGGTTCATATTTCCAAGTTTCCCAAGAGGTTCTCTAATTCCAGACTCTTCACTTTTTCATATTTGGGCTGTTTCCCTCATTGGTTCCCTGAGCTGTCTCTTTTCACCCTAATCTAAACCCAGTATAACCAAAGCAACCCAATGGGTCTTATCTGATGCTCACTTTAATTTAATTGCTTACCTTTTCTGCCTGCTGCCCGGTTTTCGCAAACTGACCTAGAATTCATTAGTATTAACTGCCTTTCTGTTTTCCCTGGAGACACTAGAGGCATCTCTTAATTAGCTATTAATAGTCAACCCTTAACAATTAGCGCTAATTGTTTAACATATACCCACAGTCATTTAGCGTGATTAAATAGTTGTTGAACATTTGCAGATGAGGACTATTAGCTATAACTAAGAGTATTTCGTCACTTAATCCCTTACTTTTGTTTTCCCAAAGACAGTCAGTGGGTTAGTTTATTAAGAGACAAAACAGTAATCTGTTTGCCAAAGTAAAACTTTTTTGCATTTCTGGAATGGTGATATTAAGGATTATCAAGTCATGTGGGTGTACTGTATTTTCATTTTCTTACAGGTAAAAGTGGTAGTATTTGATAAGACTGGAACCATTACCCATGGAACCCCAGTAGTGAATCAAGTAAAGGTGCTAGTGGAAAGTAACAGAATATCACGCAGTAAGATCTTGGCCATTGTGGGAACTGCTGAAAGTAATAGTGAACACCCTCTAGGAGCAGCAGTAACCAAATACTGCAAGCAGGTACAGTTTTTTTCCTTGTTTATTAGTGTAGTCATCTTTCTAGGAATTACCCAAAGATCAAATCCAGGTATAAAAAATAGAAAGCCATTATAATCAGAGCCACAATAGATGGATCCTGATACAATGGGAGAAAAATGTGGAACAGAACCTCAAATTCCTAAAAACAGACAAACAAAAAACCCAGACCTACTGGACTGGTTGAGACTGGAGGACTCCCCAAGATTATTGCCCTGAGATACTCTTCAAACCTTGAACCAATACTAACCCCTGAGGTTACCTCGAAGCTGAATAACAAATTAGCCCCAAAAATAATGAATATCGCCTGTAAGTACTGTGCTCCTTTGAAAAATCACCTATATGAGACCAGTCTGTCAACAATACTTTAAAACAAAGATGAGAATGTAAGGTGGCAGGGAAACTAGACTAATGGAAATGAAATAACCAGAATAGAATTAATGAGAATGTTCACACATTGTGAAGAACGTAACCAATGTCACTGAACAACTTGTGTAGAAATTGTTGAATGGGAACCTAAACTGCTTCGTAAACCTTCACCAAAAACACAATAAATATTATTTTAAAAAAATAGGAGGCCAGCCTGGTGTTTGACTGTGATTTATGTATAGTGTGGCTAGAGACTTTTCTCACTTAATTTTATGTCTTAGTTTCTTCATACAGAAAAGTATAATGATGAAAACAAAAATTAACTGTAATCCTACCACACAGATAACCATGTTGACATAAAAAATTAATAATAGAAGTAATACATATTTATGGTAGAAAATGAAGATTGGTCAGAATTACATAATGAGAAGTAAAAGCCTCATTCCCACCTTCTTTGATAATTCTTCTCTCTAAAGCTTCACAATTGTTAACCTGTTAACAGTTTTTAAGGAGCCCTGGTAGCGCAGTGGTTAAGTGCTTGGCTGCTAACCGAAAGGTTGACGGTTCAAACCCACCAGTGGCACTGCAGGAGAAAGATGTGGCAGTCTGCTTCCGTAAAGATTTACAGCCTCAGAAACCTTCTGGGGCAGTTCTACTCTGTCCTATAGGGTCGCTATGAGTTGGAATCGACTTGATGGCAATGGGTTTGGTTTTGGTCTTAACAGTTTAAAAAAAATAACTTTATTAATACGTAATTCACATACCATAAAGTTCACCTTTTTAAAGTGTACAGTTTAATGGTTTTTTAATATAGTCACCAAGTTGTGCATCTGTTAACAGTTTTTAATGCATATACCAGCATATATATTATTTATCACTGTTTAAACTCTACATAGAAAGATCACACAGTGACCACTTTTTGGTACTTAAAAAAATTTTATTAAATGATTTTTCCATATCAAGACATACAGATCTGCCTTGTTTTTAATGTGTAGTTGGTTGAGGGCCTTTTGTTTTGTTTGTTTGCTCTTACAGTGCTACAGTGAAATCCTTGTCAGATTTTGCAAGTTTATCTCTATGTTAAATGCCTATTAATATAATTGCTAGATCAAAAGACACATGAGGTTAAATTTAGATGAATATTGCAATACCCATATGATGAATATTACTAATACCTACATAAAAGGTTGTACCAGTTTATACCTTCACCAAAAGTTATGAGTGCCCATTTCCCCACCCTCCTGCCAACACTTCATTTTTTCCAATTTAAAGAGTGAAAAATGTCTACTCATTGATGGTTTGATTTGCATTTCCTTAATTATGAATAAAGTTGAGCATCTTGTCATATGTTTATCAGCCATTTGTATTTCTTTTTCCATAACCTGTCTGCATGTATCCTTTGCCTGTATTTCCATAGTGTTGTTTGTCTTTTTTTCATTTATTTGTATAAGTTCTTCGTAAATTAGATCACATTAATTTTATAGTGAAAATGTGGCAATTTCTACCATTAGTGTTGCCATTTCTTTATTTGTTCTTTCCTTTTTTACCTGTTAACTATTACTGACCTGGCTTCTTTACACCCAAATCGAACAACAGAGAGGATGAAGATGTAAAGAGCCAGGAAACAATGATGGCCACCAGAATTCTTTGGCTTACTAAAGATACAGAATCATACTAGAGAGCACTCTGGTAACTAAAGGCCCTGTTCTTTGTTACCCGTTGCCCTGTACTGAATAGAAAACCCGACTTGACTATAGAGTTAAATTTTTAATTTGTGATTCCCTACTGAAGAGGGCACAGAATATTGATAAACCTCCTATGTTTTCTTTCCCAAACTCATTATAATTTTTAGAGATTGGGATTAGAAATAAAGGATTGTGAAGTTCCTCCTGTGACTTTGGATATAATACTCAACACTCTGTTCCTTCATCCTTATCAAAATCCACTGTCAAGTAGGCAATGATAAGTGACCATTTTATTCTAAACATTTAGAATTAACCAGGCATGTAGCATGTGTCTAAACATTTAGAATTAACCAGGAGTAATATTTGAATGAAAGGAGCCTTGGTGGTACATTGGTTAAGCACTTGGCTGCTAACAGAAGGATTGGCAATTTGAACCCGCCAGCTGTTCCATGGGAGAAAGATGTGGCAGTCTGCTTCCGTTAAGATTTACAGCCTTGGACACCTTATGGGGCAGTTCTTTTCTGTCCTAAAGGGTCACTATGAGTCAGAATCGACTCTACAGCAATGGGTTTGTTTGTTTGTTTTGGTACTCTTTGAACATGCTAATGGATGACCTTCGATTATTAGAACAGCAGAGGAAATGCTTCTTTTTCTATTTATTAGGAGCTGGACACCGAAACCTTGGGTACCTGCATAGATTTCCAGGTTGTGCCAGGCTGTGGTATTAGCTGTAAAGTCACCAATATTGAAGGCTTTCTACATAAGAATAACTGGAAAATAGAAGAAAATAATATTAAAAATGCAGCCCTGTTTCAAACTGATGGAAGTAATGAACCGTCATCAACTTCATCTTCCAAGATTATTGATGTCCAACTCTCAAGTAAGCGAATTTTCTTTGTAGTACCAGTTATGGGGAAGTTATGGTCAGATGGCTAACTTTATAACCCTGCACATAAAAAAGAAAAATTGACATCATGAGTTCATTCTCTCAAATCAATTCCATCATAGGCCTTCTTCACTTTACTCAAGTTGCTAGAGAACGTTTCCCAACTGTGCTCATGGATACTACTACAGGGTGATGAGGTCTAGCCCTTAGGTGATCTTGTTTTTATTCAGCAGTCCTTCTTCTATTTCTTACCACAGCTACTCCAAACGTTTTACATCTTTCACAAGATCTTATGACTCTTCCCCTAACCCCCTCAGCAAATTACCTTGCTTGTTTTTATATAGAAAATTAATGTTCTCAGGCATGTATTCTTTCAATTTTTTTCCCAGAATTATTCCTCTTTTAGGGGAAGAAGTATCCATCATCTTGCCTAATGAATCTCTTCATCTTCGCTGGAGATCCCATCTTCTCTTAACTCCTCGGAGACCTTACTCTCTCAGTCCTGTCCCCTTGCTTCTTCTTTTCTTTTATTGTGGTAAAATGTACATAACATAAAATTTACCATTTCAACCATTAAGGACATTTACAATGTTGTGTAATCATCAGCATTATCCAGACTTTTTTGTTACCCTAACAGAAACTTTGTACCCATTAAGAAATAACTCCCCATTCTGCCCTCCTCCTTGCCCCTGTAACCTCTAGTCTACTTTCTAGCTCTACGAATTTGCATACTCTAGATATTTTATATAAGTAGGATCATACACTATTTGTCCTTTTGTGTCTGACTTACTTCACTTAGTGTAATGTTTTCAAGGTTCATCCATGTTGTAGCATGTATCAGAACTCCATTCCTTTTTATGGCTGAATATTTCATTTTATGTATGTACCACATTTTGTTTATCCAATCATCTCTTGATGGGGATTTAGATTGTTTCTACCTTTAAACTATTGTGAATAGTGCTACAATGAACATTGGTATACAAGTATCTATTTGAGTCTCTGTTTTCAAGTCTTTTGGGTATATACCTAGGAGTGGATTTGCTGGGTCATATGGTCATTCTTTAACTTTCTGAGGAACCGCCAAACTGTTTTCCACAGCAGCTGCACCATTTTACATTCCCACCAGCAATGGATGAAGGTTCCAATATATCCATATCCTTGCCAACACTTGTTGTTTTTCTTTTTTTTTTTTTAATCATAGCCCCCCTGGAAGTGAAGTGGTATCTCATTGTGGTTTTGATTTGCATTTCCCTGATAACTATACCTGTTCCTCACTTATCAACTATCTTGTTTTCTGACATATTACATTTAGGACAATAGTAAAAAATCTACTGTCCAACTATTTTGTGCATTAATGGTGTATGTCTGGCAGTAATGAATGCCAAGGTAGGAGGCAAGAGTAACACTGGCTGTGATGGTTAAGGTTATGTGTCAGCTTGGCTGGGCCATGATTCTCAGTGGTTTGGCAGTTGTGTAATGATGTAGTCATCCTCCATTTTGTGGTCTGATGTAGTCATCCTCCATTTTCCCATAATGCTGATTTTTGCATAACAACCTGGTCTTTGGAACCTAACCATGTCAATAAGTGAGGAGTGGGTGTAATGATGTTGAGCATCTTTTCATGTTTTTTTTTGGCCATTTGTATATCTTCTTTGGTGACATGTCTATTTAAGTCCTTTTTCCATTTTTTAAATTGGATTTTTTGTCTTTTTGTTGTAGGACTTCTTTATAGAGCCTGGGTATTAGACCCCGATTAGATATAATTTGCAAATACTTTCTTCTATTCTGTAGGTTGTCTTTTTATTTTTAATTTTGATAATGTCCTTTGATGTACAAAAGTGTTTAATTTTGATGAAGTCTAGTTTTACCTATTTTTTGATGCTCATGCTTTTGCTGTCATATCTAACAATCCATTGCCAAATCCAGGGTCATGATCACTTACCCCTATGTTTACTGATTTTAGTTTTTCTATTTAGGTCATTTACCCGCTTTCCATTAATTTTTTTTTTATTGTACTTTAGGTGAAGGTTTACAGAACAAGTAGTTTCTCATTAAACAGTCAGTACACATATTGTTTTATGACATTGGTTAACAACCCCATGACATGTCAACACTATCCCTTTTTGACCTTGGAGGACCTTTTTTTTTTTTTTGGTGAAAATATACATAGCCAAAGTTATACCATTTCAAAAGTTTCTACATGTATCCATTAATTTTTTATGTTTCAAAGTAGGAGTCCAATTTCATTCTTTTTCATGTGGAGATGCTTTTGTTCCAGTGCCATTTGTTGAGAATATACATTCCCCATTGAATGGAAATGGCACTCTTGTTGAAAACCACCTGGCCATAGATGCATGGGCTTGTTTCTGGGCTCTAAATTCTATTCCACAGCTCTAAAACTCTATCCTTATGCCACTATCACTGTTTTTGTTATTGTCAATTTATAGTAAGTTTTGAAATTGGAAGTGTGAGCCCTCCTATTTTGTTCTTCTTTTTCGAGATTGTTTTAGATACTTGTTGCCCTTCACAATTCTATATGAATTTGAGGATCATCTTTTCCATTTCTACAAAAATTGTTGATGGAATTTTAACTGAGATTGCATTGAGTCTTTAGGTAGTGTTAACATCTTAACAATATTAAGTCTTCCAATCCATGAACATGGAATATCTTTGATCTTCTTCAATTTCTTTCAGCAATGTTTTGTAGTTTTCATAGTACAAGTCTTTCATCTCTCTGGTTAAATATGATCCTAGGTGTTTTATTCCTTTATATGCTACTGTAAATGGAATTGTTTTCTTAATTTCCTTTTCAGGTTGTTCACCATCTGATTTTTGTGTGTTGGTCTTGTAGCCTTCAACTTTGCTGAATTTTTTTATTAGCTCGAGTAGCTTTCTTGTGGATTCATTGGGATTTTCTGTGACTAGGATTATGTCATCCGTGAATAGAGGTAGTTTTACTTCTTTCTTTTCAATATGGATGTGTTTTATTTCTTTTTCTCGTCTAATTACTCTGCCTGGAACTTCCAGTACAGTGCTGAATAGCAGTGGTGAAAGCGGGCCTCCTGTCTCGTACCTGATCTTAGGGGGAAAGCTTTCAGTCTGTAAACATAGAGTATGACATTAGCTATAGGTTTTTCATAAATGCCCTTTATCATGTTGAGGACATTCTCTTCTATTCCTAATTTGCTGAGTGTTTTTATCCTGAAAGGGTGTTAGATTTTGTCAAATGCCTTTTCTGCATTGACTGAAATGATCATGTGGTACTTTTCCTTTGTTCTATTAATGTGGTGTATTACATTGTGTCTTAGTTTCATAGTGCTGCTATAACAAAAATACCACAAGTGGATGGCTTTAACAAAGAGAACTTTATTCTGTCACAGTCTAGGAGGCTAGAAGTCCGAATTCAGGGTGCCAGCTCCAGGGGAAGGCTTTCTCTCTCTGTCAGCTCTAGGGGAAGGTCTTTGTCAGCAGTCTTCCCCAGTCTAGGGGTTTCTCATGGCAGGGACCCCGAGTCTAAAGGATGTGCTCCCCTCCTGGTTCTTCATTCTTGGTGGTAGGAGGTCCCTCTGTATCCCTGCTCACTTCTTTTAGAGATACAAAAGAGATTGACTCAAAATACAACCTAATTTTGTAGATTGAGTCCTGTCTAATTAATATAACTGCGTCTAATCCTGACTTATGACCATAATAGAGGTAGGATTTACAACACATAGGAAAGTCATATCAGATGACAAAATGGTGGACTATCACACAATGCTGGGAATCATGGCCTAGCCAAGTTGGCACACATTCTTGGGGGACACAATTCAATCCATAACACATTGATTGATTTTCTTGTGTTAAATCACCATTGCATTCCTGGGGTAAATCCCACTTGGTCTCGGTGTATATAATCCTTTTAATATGCTCGTGGATTCTGTTTACTGGTATTTTGTTGAGGATTTTTGCTTCCATATTCTAAAGTGATATTGATCTGTAGTTTTCTTTTCTTGTGTTTATGTGGCTTTGGTATCAGGGCAGTATTGGCCTCATAGAATGAATTAGGAAGTGTTTCTTCCTCTTCCATTTTGTGGAAGAGTTTGAGAATTGATATTAATTCTTCTTTAAATGTTTGGTAGAATATACCAGTGAAGCTTCTGGTTCTGGATTTTTCTTTGTTGAGAGGTTTTGGATTACTGATTCAATCTCTTTAGTAATTTTATTGAGATTTTCTATTTCTTCTTAAGTCAATTTAGGTAGTTTGTGTAAACAAAATTCCTGGTATAAATCTAGGAATTTTCCATTTCATGTAGGTCATCTAATGTGTTGGTATACAATTGTTCATAGTATTCTTTTATAAATCTTTTTATTTCTGTAGTAGTCAGTAGTGATGGCCCCAATTTCATTTCTTATTTTAGTTATTTGCATCTTCTTTCTTTTTTTTCCTTGTAAATCTAACTAGAAGTTTAAGGATTTTATTGATATTTTCAAAGAACCAACTTCTGATTTTCTTGATTGTCTCTGGTGTTTTTCTATTCTCTATTATATATATTTCCACTCTAATCTTTATTATTTCCTGCCTTCTGGTAGCTTTGGACTTAATTTGCTCTTCTTTTCCTAGTTCTAAAGGTGTACAGTTAGATTACTGATTTGAGCTCTTCCTTCTTTTTTTAATGTAGGCATTTATAGCTGTAAATTTCCTTCTGAGTACTGCCTTCACTGCATGCCATAAGTTTTGGTATATTGTGCTTTCATTTTCATTCATCTCTAAGTATTGAATCTACCACGTGTCTGGCAGTTCGTCGTAATGTGTGGCTTGCATGTTGCTGTGATACTGGAAGCTTTGCCACTAGTATTTCAAATACCAGCAGGGTCACCCTTGGTGGACAGGTTTCAGTGGAACTTCCAGACTAAGACAGACTAGGAAGAAGGACCTGGCAGTCTACTTCTGGAAAGACTGGCTAGTGAAAACCTTATGAATAGCAGTGGAACATTGTCTGACAAGGTGCCAGAAG